TAGGACCTGCTTCCAAGTTTACCAAATTCTGGCAGCGGCAAATGTAGGGTTTATATTTATTTTAACTAACATTTATTTTAAGTTTAAACTATCTTTCCGGTCAAGCCTTACTTTACCCTGGAATTGCCAATGCCAGAGTATGTAAATTTTAGTAGAACGCGCAAAGTATTGAAATTGTCAGCGGAAGTAATCTGAGTTAAATAGAAGGGAAACGAGTTCGAAAGTGTGCTTTTTTGCTTCACGAGCGTGGAGGTGGCTAGGTAGAAATTGAAGAACCGCGCGTTTCGGCCTGTGTGCTTGCCTCGGCAGATAGTTGAATCTTTCAACTTAATAGTCAGAAGTTTGCTGAAATATCAGCGGTATCTTAGAACGCGGTTAGGTTAGTTACGTTTAGAGAGCCTCGTAGGTAGTAACTTGTGATTATTCATTTTTAGTTTCTTATTTTTATTTTACCGCCGGGTCGGCGTAGTTTGTGAGCGTCAAGAGCATGCATCTTGTAATTTCTAAAGTTGAATAAAAAGGGATTTAAACCCTTCTCAAGACTTTGTGTACTTTCCAGTTCATAGCAGTCACCACTATTGTTGCGTGCAGGTTGGGGCCGCGCAACATTACAAAGCACTTTATTTCTCTAATTTCGTTTGCCATGACATTATTATCTCTCATTATGAATTGAGACCATTTTAGTACCTAAATTAAGCTAACTTAGCAATTAAGAAAATTAACATTTTAGAACTACTTCTAGAACTTACATGAGAATCTTAGCGTACTTGTTAAATTAAGTACTTTCAATGACATTAAAATGATACATCAAATCACGCGTATTTGGAATTACATTGAGCAATGTGAATGCATCTACAATTTATTCATCAATTATTTTCAGCTGTGTCCAAGAATATTCTTTCTATACTTTTTATTCACTATTTCATTACCTTTCTGAAGTCTCAACTTGTGTTAAAAGTATATGATAAATAAAGCTGCAGGTTATTGATGATAAATAAAACTGTAGATGGAAAAGTGTATGATAACTAAGACAGCAGATTCAGGTTTTAAAGATATAAAACAGTTGTATTTTCATCTTATTAACTGCAATTTTTTGCCCTAGTAAACGAAGAAGAAAGCTCTTTAGTTTAAAGTAGAAAAAAATGTAAAATAAGGTCTTATGTCAAATATCAAATGGCCTAGGTCTCATATTTTAAAACGTTATATCACTATTAGGCATCGTTATTTTTTCTCAAATTTTAAAGCTTTATGCCCATATGAATACATTTTAGACATTTATATTTAATATATTCATAGAAAACGTTCAATTTCTTCTTAGATTTAAACGCCCACCAGCGGCCGAGCGGTAAAATCGCTGAACACTGGTAGTTCGGTCCGAGGTTCGAATCCCGCGAACGGGCTGGCTGCATGGGCGTTTTCGTGGTTTTCCCCATATGTAACGTATATACGAGCCAGTTTCCCTTAGAAAGTCCTCCACGAAAGGCATCCCTCCCCTTAGGCAGATAGCCCTAGTGTGCTTTGCCGTATTCTCAATACACACACTTCTTAGATTTAATTATTCGTTTAGTATTTTGTGAATTTAAGACTGACTGAATTTAAGTGATTTTCTAGCGTAGCGAGAGCAACTAATAAGAATCGAATAAGGGTTGAAAGAATATAAGAAGGAAGCTAATTAATTAAGCTCATAACAGGTTACAGTAGTATAAATAAATTTCGAGGTAAAAGAAAGTGTAAGAAATTTTAGATTTCAGCTATATGTTACATTTCGCAGTATGATTCCTGTCAAGGAAAATTTGCTTTCACGAAGTGCTAAGAAATTTTTTCATAATAGTCAGAAAAAATGCCAAAATTCTTTTTATACCATGAAAAACGAATGAAAGATGTTTCTAACAGCAGTTCATTTTTTTTTTTTTTTTGTTAAATAATTGCATTTTTTATTATTATGGATTCAAATAAGGTGCTGTGCAAACAAGAAGAAAGTAAAAGATATGTATTTCTCATCTTTTGTTTCTGGAGAAAACAAGTAAGTTTCTGGCATTATATTTGAGTTTTACTAATAAAATTTATTTTCACTTTATGTCTTTCCTATTGCCTGATTTTGTCAGGGGATCTCTCATTTCAGAAACTTATGTAGATTTGAGTGGCAAGAAGTTAACATAAAATTAGAGGAATTTTAACCATGTGAGAGTTTGGATTAAGGTCGGCTGCCTTGCCATCCAGCTTGTCACTTGGCAAATAGAAGCTGGCTCGCATAAGCGTAAAAATCACAAGGTAGACTTAGTTGGTAAGTACAGAATTTGAGTACCCGTTAATAGTTTCCGTTACATTGTAGTCTTTTCCAGAAGTGATTAGTTACTATGCTTACAGAATATTAGACTTACAGGAAGTTTAAAAGAAAACTGTGTTCACAGCTAAGTTCAGGCGACTGCTAATTCCAGTGGCTCAAACAAGTGAGAATACACTGTACTTTTACTTGATAAATCTAACTTTCAATACAAATAACACATTGCCAAGAAGAGCAAAAAGGTTTTTTATTTTTACACATAACAAATGGTTTAATTTAAAGTAAAAATAAAGAACAGTTAACCAAAAAATTCTAAAATGGAAAAAAAATTCAGAAGCATTTTAGATAAACATATGCAGATTTTTGCCTCAAAAAATTAAGAATACACCAGCGAAATTTTTGTGATATCTCTGGTACAAAGAAAGTGTCAATATTTTGTTGCATGTCCTTTGGATTTTATGATCTTTTGCAAACGTTGTGGTACCATTTCGACCAAAATTTTGCTCGTTTCTGAAGATATTTTATTCCATTCTTCTTGCAACACTGTTTTAAATATGCTTTGTTTTTAATAACGTGTTTTTGGACTGCTGTTTCGTGTGTGGTCCATAGAATTTCTATGACACTGATGTCTGGCACTGTGGTGGTGTGTATAACTGCTGTTTACAATGAAAAAGACACGACAGTTTGATGTTATGAACCGTTGTGTTTGGGGTCATTATCGTGCTGAAATATGAAATTTCCATCGAAACCTAACTTTTTAGCACTTTCAAAGAGTGTAACGGGAAGTACATCTAAGTAAACCAAAGGATTCATAATGCCATCTATAAAACTAAATTTTCTACCCCATTTGAAGCCACACAACCATAAACCATAACGGAGCCACCACCATGTTTAACTATAGGATATAAATTTTTTGGATCTAAGATGGTGTTGGCCTTTCTGCATACGGTGCAACTGCTGCCACTGCAGAAAACGTTGAATTTACTTTCATCAGTGAATATAATTTCTTCCAAAAGTTATTTGTCTTCAACTGATGAGTTTTTTGCAGACCCCAAACGCTTTTTCTGAGTTTGCAAGGTGATGAATGTTCTACTTCTAGCAATTCTACATTTAAATCCAGCTTGTCTAATTACATTTCGCACATTTTCAACACTTATGCTTCTGCCAATGATTTGAGTAGTTTCTGCACAAGTTTGACTGCATTTACTTTAGGGTCAATGTTGATATCTTTCAAAAGTTTTCTTTTGGTGACATCACTCAGAATACCATTCCTTCCTTTTTCACTTTTATTTTCAATCAATCCATTACTTTTAAATTTTCCAATGATTTTCTGGACGCACATGGGACTTCTACCAACAATTTTAGCTATTTTACAATAAGATTTTCCCTTTTTTATATAATCTTAGTGCGAATTTCCTTACGTCAATACTGGTTTCTCTTCGAGGAGCCATTTTCTATTTAAAAGTGTGGCTTAAAGTTCATGTGACAAACTTCATCGCAAAAGTGAAAAGGTTTAAGATAAAATTATGCAGCATTAGATCAAAATAGAAGCCTCGTAGAAAAAATATAGTGGTAGTTAAACATATTTTTCATTGGTGTATTCTCAGTTTTTTGAGGCAAAAAAATCTGTATATGTTTATTTTAAAATGCTTCTAAAATTTTTCATTTTAGGACTTTTTGTTGGTTCTTCTTTATTTTTACTTAAAATTAATTCAATTATTATGTGTAAAAATAAAAATATGTCTCCGCTTCGTGGTAATGTGTTATTCATATCGAAATTTAGATTTATCAAGTAAAGGTAAGATGTATTCTCAATTGTCTGAGTCACTGTATGTGTTGCAATATTTTTTGTTAAACCTTCATAAATGATGAGGTAGAGTAAGTTGAAAATAATATCTGTGTTAGTTCTCTTCGGAGTTTAGTTCAGTTAGTGGTGAAAACTCACCAAGAATTTTGATTAACCTCTAGGTAAATTTTGTTTTAGTTAGCTAAAATTGGTTTAAGCCCCTGCTAGGTTTTACAGTTTTTTAAATGCATTTTAAAAGATGATCAAATAGCAAGTGATATTGAGTGAAAATCATATTTTTTTTTTTTTTATCAGATCATGACTTCTTAACAGACTAGAAGTTTTAAAAGTGAAAACTTGTATAATAAACATAGGGCTTACGTGTTTGTGCATTTGCTTTAAAAGAAGAAATACAAAGGAACGAAATATATTTGATAAAACAAAGAAAGAAAGAAAGAATTCATTGCGTTACAGAATAATTTCATCAGCATAATCTCTGCATAAAAGGAATTCTCTACGTTATGTGAAACCACCAATATGAGTTCTATCTATGTTATACATGCTTTTCATTTACAAATGTAATTATTTACAGTTACTTCTACTTACATTAGCTGAAAGAATTATAATATTTAATACAGTGCAAAAAGTATATAAATGCAATTCTTCGATTTTTAAGGTGTAAAATGGTAAAAGACAAGTGTTCAGTAAATGACAAGTAACAAAATCATTGATAAAACCAGTAACATTCTAAACATCGTCTACATAATATAATTTCAAAAAATCTTTTGCAGCGTTAAATAATTCATAAATGGTGTATTTATAAATACCCAGTATATGTATTAATACTCGAATGCTTTGAGTAATAATATATATGAAACAGAAAATTTATAGATGCGCATTTTATTAAAATATTAGGAGTAAAATGCTAACCTGTCTTTCATTTTACTTTCCCGTTCTTGAAAACATTCAATATTATGACGAGACTGGATCAGCTCCGCTTTTAACATTTCTATTTCTCTTCGCAAAGACGCTACTTTCCACGAATCGCGGGAAGCAGCAGAAGAGTGGCTACTTGTAGACAGTTGTGTGCTAAGAGTGGGCGATTCAGAAAGTTTGGTAATACTTCGAGGTTCCACAGATGGAATTTTCATCTGAAAACAACTTTGGGAACCTGAAAAGAAAATGTAAAATATTAAGCATAAAGTACCATTTGCTTTGAATGATAAACACGCAAAAGTTTTATTATTTGTTTTGGATCCATAGTTTTGGTTACAAATTGAATTTTAGTTTACAGGGAAAAAAAATAAGGTTAAATTTCAAATTGGAATTTTAACTAACTTTTCCCATGATTCTTTTTTTGACACTCAAAGATTTCGTTTATACGTTCTAGTAGGAAATTTTAATTTGATGATTATATATCACGTTCTGTTTTCTTACTGACATAATTAAGACGACTACTTTTCTAATCAGTTTGCTGACGGCTTCGAATGGTGTATGAGTGAAAGCGAATATCTGCACTATCTTGCTGATATTTTTTGTTGTATGTGGAAAGGTAAGAAAATCATTTTACTTTTGCTGAAGTAATATAAATGAACAGTTAATTTTTAAAAAAAATTTGAAATCTTAGTTTTATTAGTTTAGAACATTTTGAGACTTTCTGGCAGAAAATATGACCATATCATGCAATATGAATTACACACATGCAGAGCCGTGCTTTGGTATTTTTTCACTGGAGGCAAAGAGGTAAATGCTCTCCCTTATATGCAGTCAAATTAAATGTATCTGTACATGTCCATGTTCAACAAAGGTAATGATATAAAGCCATATCATAAGTTTTATAATGTTTTTAATTATAACTTTATGCATTCGGAAAGTTAATACATATAATAATTTATAATTTTTAAACGAAAACGTTAAAAAGTATCTTTTCAATAAACAGAAAATGACACTGAAACAATATAAATTAGAATTTATTACAATTACATAATACTACAATTAACATAAAAATATTGCATTAATATACAAGCTTTTTTTTTTAATTCAGTTTTTTTTTTCTTGCGTTTGTTGGAATAAAATCAACAGTAAATTTTATCAAAAATCTATTTAATTATTTAATTTATATTTCAGATAGAAAATGATGACATTTGAAAATTTGTTTAGGCTAAAAGGAGATTTTGTATAGGTTTTTCAGTCCAAAGGGGCAATTTGCCCAGATGGATTATTAATTTCGTTTTGGTATTTTGTGTTGATTCACTTTTCAAAGTGTTGCCACCAAACATTATCCCCCTGTATTATATTTAAAGAAATTAAATAATGAAGAATCTGCATAAATGTATCTATGTTTCTTGCACTGTGATAAAACAACGGTACCTACAGCCATCAAATTTTGAATAACGTAATCTTTCACCGAACATGGGCATCTGGTAGCCCTAATTTGGAATTTGTTTTATTATAGATTTCATATTTTGTAAAACTTTAACGAATTTTGATTAACAAACTTAAGGATTTCAAAGTGAGCAGTCACAATGTTGTACAGAAAAAACATTTTATCTCCAGCGCGCGAGATTGTGTATCGGAAATTCTAAAGATATGCTCATTTAAAAATTATTTTGTGATATTGCTGTTGAACTGAATTTTATGGTTTAAGTGCGAAGAACATGATATTTAATCAATAAAGTTTACACACAAAACGTAAAAAAACTCCCCCTTTGGACGTAATTTAAAATCTGAAACCTTCCATATTTGTTTTGTTTATTTATTTAGTTTTAATTTTAATTTAAGTTTTTAGGAGCTTCTTTCACCCTAATATTATTAACTAGAAACATTAAAAATATTATAAACACAGTTTCCGAATTCAAATATGATCGAACTAAACTGCATTCCTGAATTATTTTTAAAAGATCTGATTTTGGTCGACTGAGGCATATCTGAAGCATTTGTATCATTTGGATATTTAAGTACTAAATGAAAGTTACTTCTTTTTAAAATACTTAAATTCAATGACATTACCTTTTCACCAGCAAAAAATTGAAAATCGAAGCTATCTCATTTAATTTTTGATATATTTTTTTAAATTATCAGATTAAAATACCTATCAGCCGCCCAACCGGGGTAGTGGTTAGAGACGTTGACTGCCGTACCGAAGGGCCGGGTTCGAATCCCGAAGAAGGAATGGATGTTTGTAAATATAACTAGGGTCTGTGCAGCATGGGGGCACTCTAAATATGAGGTGAGCCGAAAGTCCTCTTGAGAGGTTGGTGGTAGGAGAAGAGTGGGCAAGACCCTCGCACCTGTTCCACTGGGCTGATCTCCATCAAAATTGGAGGCGGCACTGAGCAAAGTCGTACTGTCGCATGTATGGTGCTCAATGCTGCTGTCTTATGTGTCTACTAAAATTTTATCGGAGTTTATGCTTATGAAAGGAAATACACATTTTCTTTTAGTATAAATTTTACGTCATAGACAACGTGAGAAGTGATGTTAGTTTTCCCAGGTTTTTAATTTGTCGAAGAAGTTCGTAACCGTGTCCCTAAAATTACATTCTTTAACTGAAAAGTAAAAACGTTCAGGAAACTTCACTATGCTAAGATTATCCGACTGTAGTTAAAAGTCGATTAAATAGTTGATTTTTACTACACCTTATAACGTTTACTATACGTTTATAAATTCTAAGTATCTAGACGTGGCTTAAGAAAGTGCTGTTGAATTAGCTAACAATATGATACGGAGAAAAAGTAGCCATGTATTCCCATCTATAGTTGATCCTTGAAAGGCGGTATCAACGTATTTCCGCCTTACAGTGTTTCGATTTGAATTTTAATTTATTGGATTATGGCAAAGAAAACTAATGATATCTGCCTACTGAAAGGGGGGCATTCATGAAGGACTTCCCAGTTTACGACGCTTCGAAATCGCCATGGCAACTTACTTTCGAATTTTGAATTTTGATCCCTTCCAGGCTTGCAATATGCAACATAATATGTCACACGCAGCATTTAATAATAATGGCGTTCCTAGGTATAAAAAGAATGCTTTTACTAATTGTAAATAAGTATATACAGAAAGAAAAGATCCTTCAGTCAATATTTGATATCTTACTGAGGAACAATATGCCTGCTAAAACCTCAGGAAATATCAGTGTCGTGATATCTTTCATCTACCTGTTTTAAAACCCGTGAGAAGAAGGGAACAAAGTGATGAGCAGCCAACAGTTAATTTAAGATTATATACAGAATATGTATTTATGCTTATTATAAAATAATAACATTTTTATATTATATTAAATATACATTGCGTTCTTAGGAAGTTACAATACACAAAAAAGTAACAATAACAACTTAGGTTTACATAAGGCCAACACTTTGGGCTTAACTTAAATACGGAATTGTTGAACTAAATCAAATGTAATAGATTAGCCTAACGGCTCACAGGATAAAGTAAAGCGCAGAAAAGGCTCTGATTTGTAGAAAATCGGCGAGACAAGCTGAATGGCTAGAAGCACTCAACGCCACAGAATCAAATCGCTAATAAGTCACGGTACAACGTGGTGGTAGTTTAATTTATTAGATTAAGGCTATTTGCTTAAAGGGAAAGGCTTTGCTTCGGGAAGGACTTTCTAAGGAAAACTGTCTTTCAAACGCATGGGGAAAACCACGAAAACGCTCATGTCGCGGGACTCGAACCTCGGACCGAACTACCTGCGATCAGCGACTTTACCGCTCTGCCACTGGTGGGGCTGAGTAAAATAGAAGTAGTTCATAGTTTTATTAGACACCCTAAATTGCTATAATGTATAATATTGCGACCACAGTAATCCTACCTAAACCGAGCATAATTGTTTCATTAAAAGCCATACCAGCGATAAACTAGAGGAGTATGTTATTCTTCCTCGGCATATATGAAAAACATATAAAAGATCTTGGAATGAATGAGAGGCAAACTGTTCAAATGAACTCTAAATATCTAAATCTTTAAAAAATTATCTGCATGTGATATGAATTTTAAGCAAATTTGCTTCATGTAATTTCTTCTAAATATTCAGTTTTCATGGTCTAATGAAGTCATGTTTGGGCACTGATTTAGAAAATATTCATGCACTTTCGATACCTCGCTGATTTTCATTGGTTGCGTGTTTTCTTCTTAGGAGGGATGTATTGATCATTTTTGAGGTTTAATATATACCTGGGCTAACTCCGCTTTGAGAGCATTTATAAAAGCTTTTTTGTTTCCCCGAATTCTATTGTTTTACATTCTGTGAAACGTGAATAAAAGGGTGGTGTGGTGTATTTAATTATGGCAAAGCACACGAGGGCTATCTGCCTAAAGGGAGGGATGATTTTCGTGGAGGACTTTCTAAGGGAAACTGGCTCGTATACACGTTACACATGGGGAAAACCACGAAAACGCCCATGCAGCCAGCCCGTTCGCGGGATTCGAACCTCGGACCGAACTACCAGTGTTCAGCGTCTTTACCGCTCGGCCGCTGGTGGGCCGTGAATAAAAGGGAATAAGTAGACATTGAACATTATCCTTACAAATCACATCAGTAAAACCAGTTAAAAAATGAAAGGATTCAGAATAAAACGCTGTACCTTTTTCAATGCCAAAGGCGGATCAATAGTGGAAGAAACAGACATCATAGAAAGAGCGTAAAAATTTAACACCGTGGATTAAATTTCTGATAATTTGCAATAGCCATTTAATTTTTGTTTTCTTGGCTAATTCTACACTATCAAAGGCAGTGCAGACTTATAGAAAGTAATGATAAATCTAACTTCTAGCACTGCATTACTATTCGCTGTGTAGATCAAGCAATTTTAAAAGATCTCTTAAGAAATGGAAAAGGAGAGATAGTATTGACTAACCCCGCGATGAATTTCTGGAATCTTCGTTAGACATACTCTTCATAGAACTCACAGGCGAGCCGTCACCAGTCAGGGATAGATTGTCACTACTGCCACTACTTCTGTTGCTCCTTGTTCGGTTTCTGAAGCGAACTGCAAAGGAAAAGAGATTCAGTATTGTATAAAGAGAGAAAAAAAAAAAAAATTCTGTGCTATGGAAAAAAAAAAAAAAAAAAAATGTACAAAAGGCAGCAAGGAATAAATGAAATGAAATTCGAAGTTGCTTGATTTTCCTTTAAAATGCTGATGAAAGATAGTTATTTTTTAAATTTTTATTTGTACTTCTTATTTTATTTACTTATTTATTTATCATTTTAATTCATCCTATTAATTTTCCTTTTTATTAATTAAAACTTTTTTGTGAAGTTACACGCCTTGGAATGAAATGTTTCATGTTTAGATGAGATCAGTATCTGAACAATGTTCACTTGCTCATTTGCCATGGAAGTCAATAAAATTTCTTTTATCCTTTTGAAATGAAAGGATGTAATCAAAGTTGAGGATTTTATACTGTCAGATTTCTTTAAATTAGGATTATCTTAGTGTAGAACTGTAGTATCTTCAAATGCCGCGCATTTTTTTTTTTTTTTTTTTTTTTTTTTCAGGAGATACATGTCAGTCTGCATTCTTAAAAACGTTTGCGGCAAGACTTGTGCAATAAAGTCCAGTACTACTTACAAAAAAATTAAACAACTGTTATATGAGAGAATATAATATTACTATTCTTGTATGAGCATGATATGGTTTTCTAATTTACGAATTTTATGAACGACACCGAATCTAATAATTTTACATGCACCTAATCGTAGTCCTCCTGTCTTACATTTTTTTCGTACTACTAATGATTAATAGCATTTGTAATCATACCATCTAAAAGATTCGCACTCGGTGGGATTTCAGTATCTTACTCAAAAGTGTCTTAATATCTCAAAAAAACGTGAGATGTAAATAAGAGAGCTAAGAGCTGTTATTCTCTAACTTCATAATTATTTCCCAAACATCCTGTGAGATCTTGCTGAGTGATAAGTGACAATTCTACAGAATTGTCACTGATTACCAACTGATCACCGACTGTTCTATTGATCAGATGACAAATATCTTACTGTCTTTTTTAATTGTCTTATAGGTAAACCAAATGTATAATGCAAAAAGTAAATAGTTATTTGCAGAAATATAAAGATAGTTTATACATAATTTGGATGCAATTTTAGCTGAATGAGATAAGGACACAGAGGATTTTTTGATGGGGCGACTTATGTTAAATGCACTATGGTTTTTTTTTTGTTTTGTTTTTTTTTTTTTGTTTTTTTCCTGGATGCCTTCTAACTGCTTGGACATATAACAATAACATCTGCGTGAGTTTATTGATAGGCTATTGGTGCATATTTCTTTATTATTAAGTGATAATACGTGGTCTTGTAAAACCACGTATTATCACACAGAAACTGAATCTGCGAAGAAGAATACATTTCACTTATCTTTGGGTTCTTTGGAATTCCTCCATTCGCTTGTTCACAAAGTCCTCCCATGAAAGATAGATGTTTTCTTGCCCCCCTTTTTTATTCCTCTCCCGGGCAGACTTTCACCCCTCTGGTTGAGTTTTCCTCTTCTGGGCTCTTTTTAGCAAACTTCTAGCTTTTCCGTGGGTCTTTGAAGAAAGTCTGGCTTAGCTGCTGCCTTTGTAGGTTGGCGATATGGGCTCGTACTTCCACCCCTCTGGTTGAGTTTTCCTCTTCTGGGCTCTTTTTAGCAAACTTCTAGCTTTTCCGTGGGTCTTTGAAGAAAGTCTGGCTTAGCTGCTGCCTTTGTAGGTTGGCGATATGGGCTCGTACTTGAAGTTTTCGCTGGACCGCTCAGCTGGAACTTAGGCGAATCGGATCGTTGGAACTTTCGTGGCCTCCTCTACGGTGTTAGAATCTCCTTCGCTGGACGCTTCCTCCGTAGAACTTTCGGTGCGGGGCCGTCGTTGTTTTGCGAACACGTGTCTGAATTTATTTTTTGGATTTTCTTCCGTACTTGCGGATCCTCGCCTTCCCCCCCCCCGGGAACTTACATTTCCGACGTCAATGACCCTTTGCCATTGTTCCTAGTTGGTTCTTTCTTTTCTTGGTGAGCTTTCTGTGAAACGTCTTTCAACATTTGCTTATCACTTCCATTATAATAGGGCTTGACATGATCAATGGTTCTCACTATCTCTTGTCCATTTCTATTTCTTAAATAAATCAGTTTCTCGAAATATTTTGATCACATATGGTCCTTTAAAAGTGGGCAAATCTTCCCCACTTTATCTTCCCTAGCACATGATAATGAATGTTTTAACTTAAGTAAAACTTAAGTATCTCCCACCTTGTAATTAAACTCTCACCTTTTCCTGTTGTATTATATTCTGCTTTATCTTACAATATCTGAATTTCCTTGTTCATCTATTAACTTCTGTATATCACCCATTTTAAATTCTGGTGCTTTCTTTTGACAAAGTAATTTATTCAACTGGGTAATCAGTTTTCTTCCTAAAAATAGTTCTGCTGGAATCTTCCTTGTCATATCATGTTTAGCCGACCTTAAGACAAATGCTAACACACTGAAACAGCTATTCCAGTGCTTACGATAGTATTTCAAATAGTAACGTATAATTTTAACTATATTATAATTAAATCGTTCCGCTTAGTTTGACTGCGGCCGATAAGGTACCATTTTTAAATGTCGTATGTCAAGCCCTGCTCATAGTCCCTCGAATATTTGACTAATAAGTTGTTTTAATTAATTATTAAGTTACTTTTAATTACCCTAATTATTACTTTCCCTGAAATTACTTTTAATGGAGCTCCATATTTTAAAATATGTTTATTTAGGAAAGAATGGTGGAATATTTATACTCAGAAAAGATCTACGATGCCGAGTAAATATCTATTTTTATTGATTTTTCACTATGTGGGTATAAGTGTAATAAGTCTATTCTGATTAATTGATTTTGAGAAGTAGCCTTCATGCTATTTAGATACCCAACCGGGTTATAATTAACATGGTTAACTACCTGGCAAATATGGCACGAGCCGACATTACGCACTTACACACTTTTGCGATTGCAGAAAATCGCCTCGCTAGCTCGCTGAACTGTTTTCCTTATTCTAAGGTGGCCCAAAATTGCGGAATCGTATAACTCTTGTAAGATGCTTAACCTTAAACTTAGTTATGATAACTTGTCTGAATTCGTAATTCTGTTTAGTAGTTTTTGCATAAAATAAGCGATTGTTGATAGCTTCATAATTTGCGGCTCTGTTCTTGTTGGCTGTAATACCATGTTGTTCAAAATGATCAGAATCTTTCAGATAAGCATAAATGTCTTTGAATTCTGGGTCGTTTGTAATTCGGCAACAACAGTTTCATGCGAGTCAAAGATTTTCGCAGTAAGCATACCACATTTTATTGTATTCTGCTCCTCATCCAGTTTTATTCTTGATAATGCATCGGCCACCACGTTTTCTTTCCCAGGAGTATGTTTAATGATTACGTTGAATTCTTGAAATTTAAGGGCCAATCTAATCAATCCTGACAATGAATTCTTGGCGATGAGTGCTATGATCCACAGCCGCATGATAGAAATAAATTGTAACGAAAGCTTTGCCAAAATATACTCTGAATTTTTGTACTGCTAACAAAACCGTTAATGTTTCTCTTTCGGTAGCCGTATACTTTCTCTGTGTACGATTGAGAATTTTATGAAAGTATGCAACAGGCTGACTTATTTAAATTAAAATTGCGCCTACTGAAAAATTGGAGTCATCCGCAGCAGGAAATTTTAATACCGATGCTTGAATTAATGCTTGTAAGTCGTTCGAAAGCAGTATTTGCCTCGGCTGACCAAGTAAATCTGGCCTTTTATTTTTTTAATCGTAAAACGGCTCAGCTTTTTTAGGGAAATCTTTAATGAAACACATGCCTAAGAATGAAGATAACGTCTTTGCAGTATTAGGCAGATGGTAATTTTTTATAGCTATTAATTGTGACTTTTCCGTTTCATCCCTTTTTTCGACGTTTTATACCCTAAATAACGAAGTTCTGTAGCCGGAACTTGCACTTTGATGCATTTACTATTAGTCCCGCTTCGTTTAGAAGCAAAAATATTTCGCGTAAATCTTTAATGTTTTCGTCCATCGTTTCACTAGTAATTATTATATCATTTAATTAGATAAACGTGATTTTTCCTAGGACTGGTCTCAAATGATGTCCATGACCCTTTGAAAAATCGTGGGAGCTCCGCATAAACCGAACGGCATTCTTTGAAAGACATGAATACCTGACTTTGTGATAAATGTGATTCTGGTAAATGTTTCTGGCGTTGCGCCACTTTAAAAGTATCCTGATGTCAAATATTTCGCAGATTTTACGAATAATGTCTTCAATTATGGGAAGGGTTTAGTCCCACTGTTATGTTTTCGATAATCAACTGCGAATCGCCACGCTTTAAAGGCAGTAGGTGGGTGGTAATTTTTTTTTCCTACCCAGAACCATAGAGAAAGGGATACTTATTGGAGCTATAATTTTATTTCTTAGCATTTCCTGAATGTGACCTTCTGTAATTTGTTCCTTCACTTTGTCACAATGATAGTGCTTTGCTGTTACAGGGGCCGAGTTTCCGATATCAATACTGTGGCTTAAAACGCTGTGATCAATACAGCGATACCACAGATCTGAGTGTGACCAAGCGTTTCGTCAAATAAAGTAGAAAACTGACTTACCAAACTCTCCAATTTTTCCTTTTATTGCGCACCTAAATGGTTTAGGTCAATCGCCGGTGGTTGGGCTCTTCCATCTTCATATCCAGTTGCAGAGTGGATGCCTGAAAATTCAATTTAGCGCATGCTGCTGTTGAAAAATCCATACCCAAGTTTATGGAGGCTTGAAGACCTTTCACGAAAAGGCATACAGAAACTTCCTTCTACTGTTAATTTTTAACATGAAAGTGCAATGTTACTTTACCTACGCACGTGCGCAGTTTGCCTTGGGTGACGACATTTTTTGCTCCCTTCACGTCGAATAATCTACACCTTCTAAAGTATTTGCAGAAGAAAATTTCAGATAGAAAACTACAC